GCACTCGGGAGGAGGGGGGGCAGGCTGGAATTGCGCCCTATCCTCTCATGGCACATGTTCAATAAAGGCTGCAAATTTCTTATTTGTAACATCGTATCTGGCCACAACTAAAACCTCTTGCCCTTATTAGGTTGTACTGCTCCTAATCCAAAGGAAAGAGTCCACAGCTCATCTCAGTGAAAGTGTGAAAGGAGTCCCCGAAGCAGGACATGGAAGTGGGTGGGTAGCCCGAGACTCTTTCAGTGCACGCACAGGACCCAAGGAAAGCTTACACCCATCCTCAACAGTGTCTCAAGTACAGAGCTGGAAGCATGATGCCCTGGGTGGGGAAACGGACCTGGCAACAGCACCCATAGCTTTGAAGAGCAGTTCTGGCCAATAACGGGCACTCGGGAGGAGGGGGGGCAGGCTGGAATTGCGCCCTATCCTCTCATGGCACATGTTCAATAAAGGCTGCAAATTTCTTATTTGTAACATCGTATCTGGCCACAACCACCCGGCAGCACGCCAGCCTGAACTGCAGGGTTCCTGATGGATAGCCCTTTCGTCCAAAGAGATCCAATCTTTTCTGGTCTTTCTCCAAGGGGTAGGCAGAGAAATCTGCCTGTCCCTCTCATTGACTACAGCTGCCAACAGGGAGTTAGGTGAACGTGGGAGAACAAGAAGTCAGAATCTTAGGGGGACCATAATTTTTCTTATATGCCCATTTACATGCGGGTGGAAAACGTTTAATGTTCCTTGCCGTGGGCTTGGGGGCCAGGCAGAAGTTGCACTTCTGGGAGACGTGGGACTCCCCCAAGCTGCGGTTGCTGCTCACAGGGAGATCCACTAGCCTGGAGAGGCAGAGTTTGAAAGCTGGCCAGCTGGCCATGCTCTGCCAGGAAAAATAAGTCTCCCGGAGCCGGGAGAGTGGAGAAAAGCAATCCTCTCACACCTCATCTAAGTAACGATGATTATACCAACAGCAAACTCTACTGACTCATCTCCACAACTACAGAGAAACAGAAAGCTGAGGCCTGCTCAAGGTGGCAACATTACAGCTCCACCTCGGGCTGTGGCAGTTGAGAAGGAACGGGGGGGCAGTTCACCTGAACATCCCTATATTGCCTTGGTGTCCAGCCAGAGAAGGCACAGGGCCCACGAGCAGGCCACACGGACACAGCTAAATGGGAATTCCATGGCTCGAGAAGTGGAACACCTAGAGAGACACTATGCGAAGAGAAGCGCTCTTCTCTTCATAGCACAGAGTCAATTAGATATCAGGTTCCCTGCCACATAGCCACCGGCTCACCTATAACAGTCCACACTGTTTGTGGCTCCCGCAAGTCCTTCCTTCAGTTGCACTGGCAACTTCTTTGCCACAAACACGTCCCGATGAGTCGAACGATGAGGCCAAATGGCTTGAAGCACAGTTGGTTGGACTCTAAGCACTAACCACCCTATTTTCTTGCCACAGCTCAGGCACCAGTACACTGCAGTCCATCCAATCTGCCGCAAAACCTGGCTGTTGAAAAGCTTCTACATTTCTTTCCCCAGGAGCACACTCCCTCCAGGGAAAGCAAAACCAGCAGGCCTCCTGCACGGAGCCTTTGCACTCATACGACAGTAATACTCCATCTGTAGCTTTATCGGCTGTGCTGAAAAAAACTGTCCTCACGACCTCTAGTTCCTCCTAAACATCCACAGCCATATTACGCATTCATTGTCTCATTGTAATGACACAACTGGCAGCATCGGATCCCAACATAACATTAAGCCACTGGGTGAAATCAGTGATTTCTTCCGGGAGGCTCGGCAAATTTCAGCATTCACCATGACCCCAAGTAAGTTCAGAGAACCTGCATGTTGGCAGCAGAAGGTCTGATTCTGTAAATCCTTTTTAGCTGGAAGATTCACTCTTCTTCATCCATCACAATGAAGCAAAACGGAGCACAAGACTGATCTTTTGTTTAATTTTTCAGGTTACCTTGAAGGGAATTAAGGAGTTGGAGGGGGAGAGATAAAGTTCCCTCATAATGTTAGAGACAGAGATAGAAAAAGGACTTACAACAGAGCCCCAAGCTGCTGCAGTGACAGAGGGCTGTGGTTATCCTCTCTCCCTAGGGCAGCCTGCCTATTGAACCCCTCCTCCCCAGCCCTACCCCAGGGCACTGACACATGAAAAAACCCACCCACACTTATTTGAGTTAAGGACTTGAGCAACGCCGGGTAAATCTTCTAGTTTAACACAAACAAGTGCACAGTAATACACGTTTGAAGAAATAATTTGAATGCTCTGATATTTTGATGGTTTCTAAGTTCACTTCAGGAAAAAGTGGCTTCTAACCATCTGTTCCATGGGTTTTACACGCGAGGAAAATGTGCGTTTCACCTATGAACATGGCGGAGTCTCCTTCGTTTGGAGGCTTTAAATCAAGAAGGGAGGTCGTCTTATAAAAGATCTGCTCTGGCTCAACCATGAAGGACAGGCTTGATGCAGGAACTGCTGGGAGCACGTCTCTGGCCGGTGGGACACAAGAGGTCAAACACGGTTGTAACGTTCCCTTCCGGCCTTCAAAACTGTATCGACGATCCAGGGACAAAGACATCCCCACAATGGGCCGAAGGGCTAATCCATTCTCCTTGCCGGAAACTGACCCTTCCGGCAGTCTACGTACCAGACACGCACATGACCCAGCGCGTCTGGTACACAGACTTTCTTTTCAGTCGTCGTCATGGGATCCTACCATGATGACTGGGCTGCTCAAGTGCTCAGTCCTGTAGGAAAGCACATCTACTTGCTCCCAGGCCCTCAGGCTGGCCTTGCAGATCAGCCCACTGAGCCAATGCTAATGCAGAAATATTCAGGTTTCCCAGCATGTGCATTTCTCCGCTGTTTTGTGTCTGGAAAGATTACCCTCAACATGCTGCAACTGACTTCCCAGGGTCCCTTCATTCCATTCGAACGGCAGGCTGGGAAGTCAGCTTGCATCTGCCCCACGTTCCTTCCCCTGGTCTGATACCGTACAATCGGTTCTCTTTTGTAGCCTGCGCGCCAGAGTTCTCTTGCATGGTCGGTAGCTTTTCTATGCATCCTCAGTCATCATCTACATTCCTATTTCTTCTCAACAGCAAATCAGGAGACCCTTTCCCACTGACAGAATCCCAGCCAGCACGTATGGAAAAGGATACTTCAAAAGCTTAAAGCAGTATTGCGGCTGCTCTCCCCTCCCCTCCCCTGCACAGCATGCCAAATCTCAGCTTTGAAAGCCAGCGCTTCCAGCTGGAGGCTCGGCACATTTGATTAGAACAAGGTTGGGTTTTTTGAACTTTCCTTATTAGGAGAGAAGGCCGAGGTTTTCCTTACTGGGGGTTAGGGACTTTAGTATCCCATTGTTATGACATTCCTTTTCTAGTACACCAGCCCGCAAACCCACTGATCACTAATCTCCTCTTCCTGTCCACCACCGACCTCCACTGCAGTGTTATCTACTCCCCTGGCATTCCCTACTTCACTCAATGAAACATGCTGAGCTGAAGGCAGAGGATTCTTTTGCAATTTGCAACACACCTTGGTTTTAACCCTTATATCTTCTCTCTCAACCACTCTCATTTGCTGTTTACTATAAGTTCTCATGGCACAGGCAAGTCCTGTATTGGGGCGGGGAACCTAAGGCCCAGGGGAGGGATTTGGCCCCCAAAGCTCAGGACATTTGGGGAGCCCAGGCTGGCATTCCAGCCTCCCTGCCGCCCCACCGCGGGGCGCGAGCACACAAAATCTACTAGCCAGGGCCTCCCCAGGCTCTGGTGTGCGAGGGGAATGTGGGCTGTATCTTTCTCCTTCTCATTCCCACTGGTCCCTTCTTCCCCCGTGTGAACACACAGCCAGCGTAAGCACCCCATGGTTACACAATGTTTAGAGAGAAGAGTAGGGACAACTCCCGCGACCCCGCATTTCACTAATGCTCCAAGAGAGTCTTGCTTTTGTGGCTTATTCCTTGATATTTAGAAGTCTGGAATACATCAGAACCTGGCTTTACAAAACGCAGCGGGTTGATTGCCCTGTTAATTGCTAGGATACGTAGAATATGAGACCAGCGCGATAAACAAATCTCCACAATGCAGGCATGTGATTTAGGAGATAATTTTCAAAAGTACTTAAGTGACATAGGAGCTTAAGTCCTGTTTTCAAGAGTGACATTGGCACCTCTGAGACTTTAAGCCTCAATGAAAGTCAAGTCACAACTGGAACACATCTTTCCAGGTCCTGATTCGTTTGCTCTACGGGACTGGAGCAAAAGCTTTGGTGAAGTCCAGATAAACTAAGTCCATTGCATGTTCTTAGTCTTTCAAGCCGGTAACAATCTCCCTCCCATAGTTTGTTCTTTCAGAACCCAGGTTACTTTATTTAAAAAATACACTTAAACCTCTTTAATCCAGCAACCCTGGGAAATAGGGTGTTGCTGGATTAAGGAATTTTTGTGGACTATGGAGGGTGGGGTTTGGACGGGATGGAGGGTGCACGAAGAGATTGGAGGTGGAGCGCTTACCCTGCACCCCGCTCCAAGAGGGGGCACATGGCTCTGCACCCCTGCTATGGCAGTGGCAGGGGAAGTCTCCAGAGAAGTGCTGCGTTGTCATTCCCCGAGCTGAGGGGGAGGGAGGGAGAACGGCCGCCCAGAGCCACTTCCTCCTCCCCCACCAAGGGCTGAACCATGAATCAGGAACACCTGGATCAGGGACACCCGTTGTACCCAGGTTAAAGTGTATTCAATAAAGGGTGCTCTACTGTGGCAGAGAAAGGTTAACCGCTTAAACAGGAGCAGGGGCAGGAGGGCGCTGGTTAACTGTAACCGGTCAGCATCACTTGGTATGGGTGATGCTTACCAGTTAACTAGTTAACCACTCACATCCCTAATAAGCATGCATTCAGTATTTCCAGCGGCCAGGCAATAGATACACGATGTCTCACTTTATTCCACGTCATGCTCTGCCCGCCCCTCCCCAGGCAGGCTACTTACACACTGCTGTCTGTCAGCGAGATGGTGTCCGCATCGCTAGACATGCTCTGCTGTTCACTGTCATTGGCACTGGTGGCCGGTGCCAGCGCATAGCCGGTGTTGACATAGTAGGGGTTAACTGGCTCTCTCCAGGGGCCATGCCTGGAAACATACAAAACACAACACCATTCAGATGACAATCTTAATTGCTGTTGCTACCGCACGTTATTTCTCCAAACCAGCAAGAATCTGCAGCTATTTTATGGATTTTCTTCATATTAAATACAATAAAGGCTCTTCCAGGGACGGTGGCAGAGACAGCAAAGAGAGTGAGCTGCAAAGAACATAGGCTCGTAAGTGGAAACAAGAAACAGCACCCACATTATGACGGTATAACTAGGAGATACACCAACACTTCACTGTAAAGCTCTAGGCTAGACTGGATGCAGGGTTACTTACCACGAGAACTCGACTGCAAGCAGAGTCATATTTAATGCAATATTGTCTATTGCTCCTTTCATCCCAAAGCACTTAGAATCAGAGAACCCCAGGGCTGGAAGGGACCTCAGGAGTCATCGATTCCAGCCCCACGCTCAAACCAGGACAAAACCCAATTAAATCATCCTGGCCAGGGCATTGTCAAGCTGGGCCTTAAAAACCTCTAGGGCTGGAGATGCCACCCCTCCCTAGGGAACCCGTCCCAGTGCTTCACCTCCCTCCTAGGGAAATGGATTTCCCTAATATCCAACTTAGACATCATCCACTGCATCTTGAGCCCATTGCTCCTTGTTCTGCCATCTGCCACCCCTGAGAACAGCCTCTCTCCAGCCTCTCTGGAACCCCCCTTTAGGGAGTTGAAGGCTGCTATCAAATCCCCCTTCACTCTATTCTTCTGTAGACTTCACCTCACCAACGAGAGGACCTCCTAGGACTGCGCCCCTCTACAGTGAACACCAGCGATGGGCAGCCCCTCCCAGGGCAGACGGCAGCAGCCAGCATACACAAAACCCTCGGGAGGGGCGCGAGGGCAAACACCTACTCTGATAATATGCCACAGACAATTTAGTATCCTCATTAAATCTCTGGGTCTCCTTTGCACTGGGTGGAGAAATGCAGCATCCTCAGCCACACCCCTGCTACTGCCTAGTGCATCCCCTTTCCACTTAGCCCCACTGGACCTGGGCACGGCCCTTTGTCCAGTGATGTTCCACACTGTGCGGGTCCGTCTACACAGCTGCAGGGAGCAAGTCCCGCAGCTGGGGGCGAGAGACGTCCGTTAGCGGAGCGTATGCTAGCAGGCCAGAAATAACTGCAGTTGCTTTGATGAATGGGCTCGGGACGGAGCTTGGGCTCTGAGAGCCACTCCCCTTCCTCGGCTTCAGAACCTGGGCTCTTGCCCGAGCAGGAAGGTCCGTACAGGATGGTAGCAAGACTTGCTCCTGGCAGCTACACAGCAAGGCCCAGGGCGGTTCTTGCCTTCTAGTGTCAGAGCAAGAATACCAGGCAGCTCCCTCCGACAACATTCCCCAGCGCTGCAGCCGCGCTGACTTCCACAGTGACTTGGCGCCACCGTCTCACGTTACTAGCACTGATCACGCAGAGCACTCAGGCAGAAGCCGGAACGGTAGCTCTGCCTGCCCTGTGAGGACAGCGGACGCTGGGCGACTCGCACTTCAGTACCAACAACATACCAAGCCGCCTGTGTGGCATCGCTGCATGGTTCATCAGCATGACGAGACAGACAGGTGCTGGCACCAGAGTCTGTCAGACGGAGATCCAACAGACTAAACCTCTGCCCAGGACTCAGGGCACCACCATTTCTCTTGGTGCCGTCTGGATTTGGTGACAGGTGGGGTATGCAGCGAGATGGTTCTTGGCGGTCGCTTTCCCCTCTCTCAGGGTTATGCAGTTTTCTGTCATCACTTTTTAGGGACAGGATCATTTCTAACACCACGAGGAAAGCTCCCTCATACTCCCTGCGATGGGGGGGGGGGGGGACTGGAGTGGAAAACGTCTTTATCTTCACCTCTCCTGTATCACATGGATTGCAGTCATTCCTCTCCAGATTCGTGTTAGGGCAGGGATGGGCAAGAAGCGGCTCACTGGCCGGATGCGGCCCGCCAAGCCTTTTGACCCAGCATGTGGCCCGCTCTGCTCAGCCCCCAAGGCAGGTGCTCTGCTCGCTGCCACCAGAGGCTGCTCACAATCGTGCACGCCCCTGGCGGGAGGGGGGAAACTCCGCACACTGTTCCCACCCCAGCCCAATCACCACCTCCATAGACAAATGCGGCTCTTGACCACGTACCAAAATCTTGGGAGCGGCCCCCCAACAAAAATTGTTGCCCATCCCTGTGTTAGGTTCTAGAGACGCCTGGCTGTTCTGTTTTCCCCAGGGTGTCATATATCAGGGGTTTCGGCTTTGGTCCGATATCCTGAACATCCCTTCTGGTGAGATTCTTGATCCTGTTGGCCAGGAAATTATTGCTGTCGAGGCCTCGGAGGGATATTATCTAGGCCTGAATAAACTCTCTTGATTCAGCTTTTAACCCTCTGATGCTCTGCAGCTGCAGGGGCATGGTGTTTTGGCTAAAATGGGAGCGGTACCGGCGTGCTCCCTTCCGGTTACTGAGCTGGAGAGAAGTTATTCCAGGGCTTTATCTCAACTGGAACAGCAGGTGCTGAAGGCCGAGCCCTGGAATTCACCCTCTTATAGAAGAATGGGTTGAATTATAATCAAACAGGTTTAGCAGCAAGTACGTGGAGGATTATTGAGTTATCTAGCAAGTTCTCTAATCACAGCAGGCGTGCATAGCTTCTGCTGGGCATTCTCTTACAGCCCGTGACCGGTTCTCGATTCTGTACAGCTTGGGTGTGTTATTTTGACTCAGACATGGAAAAGTTTAATTTCTTTGGGGGATTTTTCCTGGAATATGAATTTTTTCAGGTTGACATGCAGGTTCCAGACATCTCAGCATGGCCGAGTGGGTGAAAACACCCTTTGGAAGCCATCTTGCATGGGTGAGAGCATGTCCAGTCACTGGCATGCAGTGTACTGAAGTCTGGGGTTTGGGCACAGGGTCAGTAACTCTGGGAGCGCACGGATCTACATATAGAAAAGGGTCAGGCTGAGGTTACATCCCTGTTTTGCGCTCCTTGCTCACAGAAAGCACTGTCTGCATGGTTATTTTTAGCCCTCCTTTGATGGATTTATTGCACATTTGATGGAGATCAGGCATTTTCCCACTGCCATCTCCACCCTGGAAACTATAGCTCAGCCCTGGATGCCACCACAGTGAAGCTAAAGTTATTTTTTTTAACTCTTCACAATAGGAAAATACCTTCAATTTTAAAAAAGTTTGTTAATGGGAAGAATCCAATTCAACTTCCATCATATCACAGTGGTCAGCTGAAGACTAGATATTGAGATCACTGATAACTTACATTGATAAGTTTGGCCATTGACAAGTGTGACACTGTTGCAAAAAAAGCAAAAGTGATGCTGGGAGGCATTAACAGGTGTGTTGTGAGCAAGACACGAGAAGTCATTCTTCCGCTCTACTCTGCGCAGATTAGGCCTCAGTTGGAGTATTGTGTCCAATTCTGGGCACCGCATTTCAAGAAAGATGTGGAGAAATTGGAGAAGGACCAGAGAAGAGCAACAAATATGATTAAAGGTCTAGAATACATGAGGTACGAGGCAAGACCGAAGGAACTGGGCTTGTTTAGTCTGGAAAAGAGAAGTCTGAGAGGGGACATGATAGCGGTTTTCAGGTATCTAAAAGGGTGTCACAGAGAGGAGGGGGAAAATTGTTCTCCTTGGCCTCTGATGATAGGACAAGAAGCGATGGGCTTAATTGCAGTAAGGGAGGTTAGGTTGAAAATTAAGAAAAACGTCCTACCTGTTATTACACAGGAATAAATGATGTGCACTGCTATAAACGCCTTTGCTGTGCAAATGAATATGATCAGCTATATAAACTCAGCCCTGCCATGCTGTACTACTGGGGCTTTTTGGGGTAATGTTAAGTGCTCATTTGGCTCCTGAACCACTGAAGTCTGAGTGTCACTAGCACAGTAGCCAAACCTGGAAAATCAGCTGTCCCTACAGAGGTGTGTAGTGTGTATAGGTCAAGAGCACTGTATTCCCCATAGGTTCCTTGCATCTCCCCCATCTCATTTCCTGTGGGCCACCCTTCCATCCCCCGCTATTGCAGGGACTCCCTGCAATTCTCCTTAATCTTCCCCCTGCCAGGGGTTGTGCAGCCCCCCCCCCCATTTGCTCCCATACAGAGGGGTGGCCCCAAAATGAGTTACATTTCCAGAGAGTTTCTTGTGGGCCAATTAGCCTGCGACTATATGATCACTTACTTGGTTCTACAGATAAAATAGCACCAAGAAACTCTACGCACTGTATCGGAGCAGGTTTTTGCGCAGTCCTCTTTTCCTATGGATATATTTTGTGTCAGCATCCCAGTTTAATAAACTCCTGTGAGTTTTCTACAGAATAGGGTATAATTAGTGTGACCCGTATTTTCTCTTTTACTGCTGACATATGTGCTGAAAGAAATTGTATCTGGAAGATAAATCACACTGGCCTATCAAATGCATCTAAGCATAAGACTGTTTTTACCTCTCAGAACTAGGAAGTTTCCATTTCTCATGGTAACATATTGTTAAAAGAAGACCATTCTAGTCACACGCAACTAACACAAAGTGATGGCATTGGATGAAGGCCTATTGTGGAATCAGCAACAAACAGCCAGGAAAATTTACCACCCAAGACACAAGACCTACTTGCCTGTTGCTATGATAACGAAAACCTCAATATTTCACTCGCTTGTCAAAAACCAGCTCTTCCCAAGCACGCAGATGCGGCAGAATTTTTAAGGCTCACAAAGTGTCACGACGGTTTTAGTTCTCGGTGAGCTATGTAGAGAGAATCCTGCGAGTGCTCTCCAGAATCTGGGACTACCTGGCAATCCTTAGGCATGAATACGGTTGCTCTAAGCCCTGTCTTCCGATGGGAGGTCATCGTGTTCTTTTTCTAGCAAAGCAAACTTTTCACCTCTCGCTCTAGATGTGCTGGCAGAACTGCAGTTCTGTTTTCCATTAGGTCTCGGAACAGGTTTCTAGGGCAAGGAAATAAATTGAACAACTGTGCT